ACCCACCTTACCCCTCTGTTGTCAACCCATGTATGTTTTTTGTTTTTTTTGTTTTTCAAATCAACGCTGTTTGAATGTAATTTTCTGTAATAATTTGTAATTGTATTTGTGCTGCTTTTTCAACAATGTTCCCCCCTCTTTTACCTCTATTTTTATTTGTACTCAACACATCTTATTCTTTTTACCCATTAGTTTTAAGCTTTAGTCATTAATGTTTTTCCTGCCCGAAACGCTTTGCGTAATAGTGGCTTTAGGCATTGTATGTACTAGCTCTATCTATAAAGCCAACAAACTTTGTAAAATCTCTTTATGTATGTACCTTACCTAAATAAAAATTATTATTATTATTATTATAATTATTATTATTATTATTATTATTATTATTATTATTTTTGTTCATTTTTTGCGCACAGTTCCAAATACATTTTATTTGTTTTTACATGCTAATCCTATGTATAATGAACACGTACACTATATTATGGCAGTAAAACATCCGTACTGTCCGAAGACACTGTGTTACGTGCATGACACTTGTGTACACATATGTTGCACATATTTACCATATATCATGCTAATTTATTCATATATACAATCTATTTACAGACTATACACTGTCACACACTATATACATTCACCATCAACACACTCAGAACACCGCGAGTGTGAGCAGCCACACTCAGCCAGGCCCTCCCTCACTCTAACACCTTACTCGCCAACATTGCTCCTCCCACCATTCTGTTATTGTTCTTATTACACTAATTACACATGTTATATATACCTATCTCCATGTTTTATTTACCAGAAGTATGCAAATAAGCTGGTATTGTGTCCAAACAGTACAGTGGCCACCATACACTGCATGACAAATCACACAGCAGACAGCAGACGACGCCACGATTACGATGTCACCTCCCTCACCAAAATAGCTCCTCACAACATACTCCTGGTGCTGTTATTACACTATATACACACTTTATATACCCATGTACATGTGTGTTCCCCATAGCGAACCACTAAGCTAGTATGGTGAGCAAAACAAGAGTTACTGCCACACAGTGAGGCTTCCTCAATTCTCTTCCTTCCTCCCTCACCAAAATTTCTTCTTCCTACACACAACGCTCATTATAACCACAATCCTGGTCACTAATACCTGTAAATGAATAATTGACCACAAGTTTATTTTGAAAAGGAACCTAAAAAGTCGTTTGAAGATTCATAGACGGACGAAATAATGCTGTGGTGCTGTGGCTAGCGCTGTGAACATCGTGAACATCATTGAATCACTGATATTTGAACATTGTACTCAGTCATTATCACTTTCGGGCTCTTCTATAATACTATCATTGCTAAATAAAACAGATTATACAGTGGTACCTCGCATAACGAATTTAATCCGTTCCATGTTCGTCATGTGAAACGGACGTCATACAAAACGAGTGTGCCCCATGTAACCAGTGTGATGCACTGTGTTTATTGTGAAATTCCCCCAGTGTGCATTACATCAAATGTTCTCCAAAATATAATTTTTCTTTGCAAAATGATAAATTACCATCCCTGAACATGTCTATGTAAAAATAATTACCAAATTCCACTTACTTTGGGTGTGAGGGCGTGGACAAGGTGCGCTGTGACGTCATCAGGAGTTGGTCGCCCGTGTGTGAAGCTCCCAGACACGGTCGCGCAGGCCATTCAAGCACTACGAGTTGCCACAAATATATTTTCAAATATTTTTTCTATGCATTTCCAATGCGGTTTTATTTGTTTTTTTTATCGTATATGATGCATATTTGTGACCTTTACAATATGTATACAGTAGAATGTTCATAATTTTCCATGAAACTGTGATACATGTTTTTTTTTTTTTTTTTTTGAGATATATACAAGAGTTGTTACATTCTTGTATGTGTCAGTAATGTGTCCACAATAAATGTTTAGTCACAATATTACGTGGTAAAAATTCACTAAAATTACAATATGTACAGTTTCACATACTATTTACACAGTAACACACAGTATTACACACTCAGTACTTTGGAGGTGCGTAATAGTCAACGAAGTAGTCCATGGTACACAGCGCGACTTTGCTCTCCTTGCACCAGCTACAGATAGATTTTCGTTTCCTGTTTCATCGTTCTGTGTGCTTGCAAATAACGCACTCGTGTGCACCCTTGGCTTTAGTACTTGTAGGTGGTATGTAGCCAAGCTTGTAAAGCATAAGGTAGTATTGAAACGATTATAGGAAAAGCTCAATTTGTAAGGTAGTCTTGAAAAGATCGCTTTGTAAGGTCCCACACAGGAAGAGAAGAAGAGATTCAGCTAGCCTCAAAGAGTGTCCATCAGTCAGGAAGAGATTCAGGTATTCTTGAAAATATCAATGAACAACACCACCATGGAAGCCACTAGCACTGTTCATCTATGCTACTTGTATCAGATGCGTCATCATTGAACGCAGAAAACGATTCATCTATGTATCATCTATATAAATTGGAGATGGCAAGGGTGGGGCTCAGAGCTACAACTGGATACGCTCGCTGTATCATCCTCATAGGTGCTGCATCACTGGCATCTGACCGTTGTGTTACGCCCTTATTGCGCCTAGCTTCACCAATGTTATGACCCTTATGTTCTTCAAACAATAGGGTCTGAATTGCACCGACTGAGCACAGTCTTTCAACACCGTGTGGGACAGGTGTTTGAGAGCCAGAGGCACGTGTGCTACAAATGGTTGCTCACGCAGTACTAACCCAGCCAGCAGCCCTTGTCTTTCATATTCGTTATAACAAAAGGTTCGTTCAGTGTTTGTCGGGTAGGCTGCTCCATTATGACAATCTTTCTTTGTTTCAAATGTGTTCCATTTGTTTTGTATTTGTCACTTACGTCTCAATAATGGAGCAGCCTACCCGACAAACACTGAACGAACCTTTATGGCATTTGTCCATTTTTCAAATTGTTTCAATAGTTCTTTTATTTTTCGTTTTTTTTTATTTAAGAAACATGGAGCAGCCGACCTGTAGACCACGGAACGAACCTTTTTGACATTTGTACTGGTTTTCAAAATTCTTCATTTTTTTTTATTATTTACGTTTTTTGTATGTAAGAAACATGGAGCAGCCTACCTGCCGACCACCGAACGAACCTTTTGCTATAAGACAAATGAAAAATAAATATTGAACACATTTGAAGAAAGGAAAATGTCATAATGGTTTATTCAGTGTCTGTAAGATAGGCTTCTCCATTATTGAGACGTAAATGAAAAATACAAAACAAATGGAACACATTTGAAACAAAGAAAGATTGTTATAATGGAGCAGCCTACCTGCCAAACACCGAACGAACCTTTTTGACATTTGTTGTATATCAGACATTTCATTTCTTTTTTCCTACAAAAACGTCAATGCTTTGCAACATCTCGGCAGTCACCCTTTTATATTCCAGCATCATTAGCATCTTTAAACAAGAACAACATAATTTATGTGCATCGTCGGAGGCGTCTAAGAATGTGCAAGAAGCAGCGCGACCCCACCATGTGGTGTTGACGTTACTCAAACCAGCGTTCGTCATACAGGACGATTTGACACTGATCGGGCCGTTCGTTACCCAATATGTTCGTCTTTTGGGGCGATCGTTATGCGAGGTATCACTGTATATATATTTTGAAAATATTTGGCAATGCTGTGGTCACACGCTGAACAGCAGTGCTGTGCGCTCATGCTGCGAGCGCCAGCCTTGGTTGCTCACTCACTACTGAGGCTCTGACACCCGGCAATGTGGACCATGATATTTTTTAAAGATGGCGTCTGTTTACAAGAGCCCTGAGGAAGCTGATGTGAACCCCATGTAGCCGCGGGAGTTTTGAATGGAACGTGAAAAATAAAAACACCCGGAGGCGCGTTGCGCACCCGAAGCCTGGGCCTGCAGGCACGTTGCGCAGTTAAAGGGTTAAAATTAAATTTACTGAATAACCCCTCTCGCTTTATCAACGTATTAGGTCTATTCTGAGTATTGATGGTCGTTTGCACTTCAATGAGCTTGTGATCTGAGTATGTGGTATCTGATATCGTAATGTCTCTGATAATGTCTTCATTGTTTATAAAGACCAGATCTAGAATATTTTCATTTCTCGTTGGCTCCGATATCGGCTGGTTGAGTGAAAATTTGTCACAGAATAAGATAATAAACAATAAATAAATAAGATAAAACAATAATAAGATAATTAACAAAGGAGAAAAAACTAAAATCTTAAAAAAAAAATTCCCCTAAAAAATATTTTTGGGACATTGATGAAAGTAACATATATTAGCATTGGACAATGTAATTATATGATATATAACAAAATAGATCATATTAACATAGTTATTCATTATTATTTGTGTTATTATGTTTTACTTAGCAATGATATAATGGCACCAACTGTATATCCACTTTGTGGACACTTCTTACTACTACTGTTCTTCTTTGTGCATCGGACAGGTGCTTGTATCTCTTTATTACTGCATTATCCTTCAGCTCTAGTTATTAGGAGCTGTTCTCCTTATCAATAAAGCATTCCCATTTTTCAAAAATTTGTCTAAAATCCATTTCTGAAAGTATTTTGCGACAATGAAGCCAATAAGTTGGAGATTTGTTTAACATTTTAGTTATTTTTACATAATTTGAATATTTTTCGCTACTATACCCCCCAATATTTGCGGAAATATGCGCGGTCTAAGGGTTAATTACATTCAATGCAGGTTTTTTTGTGTGACAGTGAATTAATTCTGCATATTGGACAATACTTGGCAAATTACCAATGATTCAGATAGTGTTTGAACTGGGGACATGATATTAATTACATTTATTATACATCCCAAAAGTGGGATTGTTGGATGTTATATACAGTGCTGTAGTGAGGATATGAGTTAGTACTGTACTGTTAAAATATTTTAGAATTTTTTCCATTGATGTAATTTCTTCAATCAATTTTGTAAAGTATTTCTTTTTAATAAATGTCATTGCCTTAGGGAAGGCACAAGAGACGACGGCACGCACTCCTCTTCAGGTAACTGGTCCGCTTCCTCCAGCACCCGCACATCCGTGGAGTTCGATCAGCAGCGCCCAGCTGCCTCACCAACCTCATCTCTTGAACAAGACTCCATTCTCTCAGAGTAAGATATACAATATATTTTGAAATTTCAAATGTGTTTAGTCAATTATATTTCTCCATTAGGAATATCTTATAGTTTTTACAATATTTGTTAAACAAAATTTAAGGTATCGATGCAATGTCTGGAAAATGCCTTTGCGTATAAGTGGTAATGTCCTTAACCCCTGGGCGGTGCAGCTATTAAGCACCGTCTCTCACATGCTATGATGCCTGGGAATTCTCCCCCGTACAATAGTCTCAACTGCAAGCAATTATTTAGGAAATAAAGCACTTGAATTAATAATATTTTTGTTATGCATACTATGTTCTGTAAGAACAGTAAATTATATTCAGTCCATGCTTCCATGTGCAAGTCTTAAAACCATATCATGTAGCGTGCAAAATTGCAAGTTCTTCATATTGCAGTGGATGAAGGTGATTTTGGCCTCTGATCAGCACTCACTCCTTTAAAAATAGCTGCTAAAAGCAAGATTTATCAAATGCATGAAAAAAATGGTTTATACTGTATATACAAGACTGTACCATTTATCTACGAGATGCTGGAGAGTATAGAGAGAGGTGCGTTATAGTACCCCGTATTTTGTCTGTTGCTGCAAATCAAGATAACAGGCAGGATCACTGGTATACATTTATTGCTGTATTAATTGACCCTTGGAAAAGAAAGTCTTTCATCCAACTTAACTTAAGACCTTATCCACTGTGTCAAGTTTTCTGTTTTGGAAATTAATCTTTTATGTGGCATTTGGTTGAAGGCTGTTCTAAATTCAAGAATGCATATATATATCACTTTGATGAATCATATATATTAGTACTGTATGTCATAAAAACAGATTACAGGAAGTTTAAAACACAGGATTTTCCAGGCCTGAATCCACATTGTTCTGGCGTTAAAATGGTGTAACTATCCACTTTGTTTATTTATTTCTACTTTATGACCATCTTTTGTAATTTGTGTACTGCATTTGTTAATGAGACTTGACTGTAGTTCAATGGGCCTTCTCTTTCTCTTTTGTGATACTGATATAATATTGGCCATCTTCCACATTCTTGGTATTTTCCCTACCCTCGAGATCTATTGAAGACAGTCCAGAGGGGATAGAATAGTTCTTCAGCACACCACTGTATCATATTTCATGTGTTTATGCTGTTTTACTTCTTATAAGTGTTTTTAGTCACTTTCTCTACTTCTGCTTCTGTAGCCTCTATAACACCCTTTGTGGGAACTTGTTGGTCCTTAAATTAATCTATTTCTTTGGTACTTAGTAAGTTTCCAGTACCCTATTAACCAGCCAGAAGCATTTCCATTTAGTACATGGAACATGTTGGCTCCATCAATTAAATTTATGTGGATTTAGAATTAGACATGAAAGTGTTGAGTTGTCTAGTTTAAGAAGCATGTTATATTTTTTTTAATTATGAAACTTATTTTCAGGTCATTGCAAATTAGATCTTCTTCTCCTTCAAGTAATCAGCGAACAAACTCCAGAACAACTGATGACTTTCCTTCGACATCATCCCATGCAAGTGATGGTACCTTAACACCTACACAAGATATACAAGATATCCCATTCTTAGATGATGATACTAGCTCAGCTTACTCTTGTGACACTGAAGGCTATTACACATCTTTTCATATAGACAGTGGTCTGCGTTCTGTAAGTTACGAAGGAAATACATTAGCCTGTGAAAACGAATACGAATTGTTTGGCAAAGGAAGCACCGGTACAACAAATAGCTCGGCAAGTTTAGGAACTGTTGTCATGAGGAATCCTGAGAAAAAGACTCCTCCTAAGCCACCACAAAGGGTGAGCTCTCTAGAGAGAAAACGAGAAAACAGAGAAAGCATCATTACAGTAATACATGTGAATGGTTCTACATCTTCACGAGAAGATGTGGCTGGAGATGTAACAGACAGAGCTTGTAGTCAAGACGGTGATAGCAGGAGCTCAAGGGATGGTGACAGTGGACGTGAAACATCTAGTTCTCCTACTGAACCCACAAGTCCACGTCAGCCCAGTTTACCATCTCCAGAATTAGAGTTCACAGAGTCTGACTTAGAAGCAGAGAGACAAGAAATTTTACGTGTTAAAACAACAATTAATTCAAGTCGTATACCATCAATGTGTGTCATAACACCACCTCAAAGTGATGATGAAAGTGTTAGGTCTGGTAGTGTTCCGCTTTCCAGAGAAAATTCAGGATCACAGATTGACAGCCAAGGGCAGCAGACACCTCCTCAGGGAATTCTGGGTTCCCTTGCTAGTCAGGGGCAGACTCATGGTGTTACTGCTAAACTACTTTCTTTTCAGAGTAGTGGTGCAAAAAGTGGCAGTGCAAGAAGTGGTGGTGCTATTAGTAGTGGTAAGGCTGTTGTAGATGCTAGTATTAATGAAAAGAAAGATCCAGTATTAAAAGGTACAGTTTTACCCCATGGCTATACCCCAACGCTTACTGTTATTCCTCGTGGTAAGGATGGGGACATAAATGCTCACTTGAAAGGTATTATGCATACAGCAGCTGTAGCATCTCCTGCACGACCTGACCCTGATCAACCAGTGTTGATAAGACCTTCTCTAGTCAAACAAGCAGAGAGAGAAAAGAGATTATCACAAGAGAGTGATGAAAAGCAACATGCTGAATTACAAAAACAAGTATCAAAAGAGCATCAAAAGATAACAAGTGAAAAATCTAGGTCACAGAGCTCTGAATTGGTATCTTACAAAGAGCTTCCTCCTCCTACCGCAACTGGCGCTCACCCATTTAGTGCTGTACCCACCAATGTCAAACAGAGTGTAGTTATCACACCGACCAACTCCCTAGAGAGAAGGAAGACTAACCTTACAAAATCTGGGGCACGAGTTACACTCAACTCTGATGGCAAGGTTGTTTATTCCTCGGATAGTTTGCCCCGCCGCAAAGGTCACTCTTCCTTTGAGCCTGGGCCATATATTAAGCAGGTTGGGAACTCGTCACTACCCCAATCTGCAGGAGGTACTAGTAATGCTCACACCCTCACTGCATCACACCTGAAGTCCTCTGTGTCGACAGCACCAAGTAGCATACAGCATCAACCATTACCTGCTTCCACAACTTCAAATAATAACACAGTTCCTGTGACCCAATCTCATCCAATGGCACAACGGCCACAACAGCCACTTCCACCTTCAGCATCGTATATGATGCCTACATCATTACTGCCAACACCTTCTCAGTCGAAGCAAACTTCAGATGCAACGTCACAATCTACACAGCATGTTTCATCTTTGCAACCTGTTGCATCATCTTTGCAACCTGTTATGTCATCTTTACAACCTGCTGCATCATCTTTACAACCCATTACATCATCTTTACAACCCATTACATCATCCTTACAACCTGCTGCATCATCTTTACAACCTGCTGCATCATCTTTACAACCTGCTGCATCATCTTTACAACCTGTTGCATCATCTTTACAACCTGTTGCATCATCTGTACAACCTGCTGCATCATCTTTACAACCTGCTGCATCATCTTTACAACCTGCTGCATCATCTTTACAACCTGTTGCATCATCTTTACAACCTGTTGCATCATCTGTACAACCTGTTACATCAGTTTTACAACCTGTTTCATCATCATTGCAGTCAGTCTCATCTACTGTACATCATCAGTCTACTGCCACCCAGTCATCTTTAGTAGGATCATCCCATTGCCTCCAAGCCATACCTTCTCAGTACACAACGACCTTGCCTTCTCATACTCATGTAGCTCCAGTATCCCAGCCTCATCCTACATCATCCTCATCACAGTCATATTCAGAAATGTCATCACAGCCTCAATCAGCAGCTCCATCACAACTTCCACCCACATCCTTATCTCAACCTCTTCCAGTTTTGCCTCCACAGTCTATGTTAACTCACTCTTCACAGCTCTTTCAAGCATCTCAGTTACTCTCTAGTATAACTCCACAGCCTATCCTACCACCATCAACACAGCCAGTTACTCATCCTTCTACAAAGACTCAAACAAGCCATCCAAAGCAGGACTCTCACCCCACACTTCAGAAGACTGCAGGTGTACCTCAGCCTGTGAACGTGACACAGGCACCGTCATCAGTGCCGACGTCGTCAAGTCAGCTTGCTCGCCCACCCCAGCCACTACCCCAGCAAAGACTACAACAATCTACACAACCACCTCTATCTCCTGGTAGTCAAAAACAGGTGGCTTTTGTTACCAAAAGTGATGCTGATCAGAGCCTTGGTGAAAAACGACATACTAGTGTTGCAGGAAGTTCCAATGGCATATACGGAACTACACAGCAACAACAGCAGTTGAAGCAACAACAGCAGCAGATCTATCAGGCCCGGCAAGAAGCACAGAGGCAGCTATTACAGCAGCAACAGCTGCAGATTTATCAGACACGCCAAGAAGCACAAAGAGCAATACAGCAGCAGCAGCAAATGCAGCAGCAACTTATTTATCAAACAAGAGAAGAAGCTCAGAGGCAGTTGCAACAGCAGCAACAGTTGATGCAACAACAGGCACTATATCAGACTCGACAGGAAGTTCATCAAGCACAGCAGCAGCAGCTACAGCAACAACAGTTGCAGGCTACAACTACATCTGCAAGTGTAATTATGGCATCCCAGGGAGCACCAATGTCGCCAAGAAGTCAGCGAGCTGGGGCATATGTACACGTACAGGGTCAGGTTACTCAGGGAACAGCAACTCAACAGGTGGCAACAGTGCAGCCCGTACAAAGCAACCAGTCTAGCACTAAAATTCCTCAGCGTCCCCAGAGTGCACATGGGTATCCCCCTGGTGGTACAACCTCTCGTGCACCTACTCCTGTACAGGGCCCCATCACTTCCAGCCCTAGACGTGGAGCCCAAGCCAGCACTGAGGCCTTCACTCACCCACACCTGCGCACTGATCCAGGTACACAGTTTGTTAGTGCACAGTCACAAGCACAGTTATTAGACAAAGACCTTGATCCTACCACTGATCGTGTGCTGTTAGCCTTGGCCCATGCCCGCTTAGCCACTCACCAGCTTCTTGCCAACACTCGATCTTCTGCCTTACACACAGACCATGATGAATCTAAGAACTGGAGTCAAGAAGTAGCGACAAAGGCAGGCTCTTCTAATTCATCTCAGTTTGATGCTGCCAGATCTGGACATAGTCCTTTTCAAAGAAATAATAGTTATAAATTAGCCACAGCTCCTCTTTCAGAAGCAACTAATAATCTTTTTCATAGAGTGGAAGGTTTGGTTAATGCTCATGATTATAATGAATATGAATTGCCCCTGATCAATAACAGCACTATTCATGGTCCAAGGGCTAATATTGGAAGACAGGGATGGAATAGGTATCAACAAAAACTTGCAATATCTCCTGGTAAGCTGAGTTATGTGGGTCAGGGCAAGAGCCTGTCAGTGAAGCGTCCTGTTAGTCCAGGTCAAACACTAAATCCCAATTTAAGCAGACGCAGATATTATGGAGCTCAGGTCATGGTCAATCCAGCAGTAATTCATGAATTAAAATCTCCTAAAGTAGTAGGTACAAGTAAGGAGAATAAGGTTATGGAAGAAAGTGTATTTAAAGATAGTAATTGTAGTGTATCAGTCAACTCTAGCACGACACAGTTAGTTGGCACTAAACCTCGCATAGTTGGCATTGTGAAGAAACCTCCTTCCCCAGTCACGGACACTGAGATTTGGTAATGACAACAAATTTGATCTCACCATTTAGGTTAGTGTAATATGCAAACAAAAACTCCTCCCACTAGTCAGTGTGAAGCTCTCAGAGCAGCATTAGCAGTCATAAAGTGCCATCCTCATGTAGAAAACTAACATATTACTGCCATGTATTGAGATAGATAATGCCTAGAACTTCCCTTATATGTCAGTCACTTCATAGGCTGGAGTTGTCTTTCACTAAAAAAAAAAAAAGTAGGTTGACAAAAAAGTTCAAGAAATGTTTGAAGACTAAATACATTGATGTTGTATGTAGACTAAAGGTTGCAGAAGTAAAATGCATTATTTTAATATTTGCCAGGGGGTCTTGACATCAGTTCCTCAAAGGTTGTCACAACATCTCTTCACAATGTTGCATAGTAGCAACTGCAAGCTAGTTGTGGGTATATTAAAGCCATTACACAGAGAATTCACATTATCGTAATACTGTATATCAATAAGAAAATCCGGAGGAACCGTGATAAGGATTCGAACTTATGCGCTGGGTGTTCCCAGATACACACACTGTTGACTACGCCACAACAGAGGTAGAATTACACGACGACAGAGCCAGAGTGCTTGGGGGAAGGGGGGAGGGAATTGTGTGAAACCCTGGTTCGGCTTCAGTGGAAGCCTTGGGAATCCTCGAGGATGCAGTAGTGTCCCAGGTTGCAATTCTTTTACCATGTCGTGGCATAGTCGACTAGAGCGTGCATCTGGGAACACCCGGTGCATAGGTCCAAATCCTCATCACGGCTCCTATGGATTATCTCATTAAAGCTATCATTTAATATTGACCATTTGGGATAAATTCGGTATGTGCCAGACCCTCAATATCTAGCACCCAACACTTAAAATAGATACTGCAACACCCTATAAGAGGCTGAGATACCTGGCATGTGTTTAGAGCAGCCCGTCCTCCAATAACGATAATACTTGCTACAATAATTTTGTCAAATGTACATAAATGGACTGTTTGACCCCAAAAGTTCATGTTTTGTACAGGTATTAGTGAATTAGGACACATGGAAAAGTAGAAAAAGTGACTTGAGACCCTAACAACCTGCCCAAGGCTTAATAATCTTAGGCCTAATATAGTACTGTACATATTTGTACTATACTAGGCCTAGGAATATTTAAGTTTGGTTTTTGGTTCTTTTTTCTGGGGGGAGTCCCTTCGACTCCCTGGAGCTTACTAGGCTGATATGCTAATGTCAGACTTTATCATCAGTCATGTGTATGGAGTCTCAGGACCCTGGGAAAACCTCTCGGGGGCGTGTGGGTCCGATGGATGTGACCCCAAAGTCCCCACTCGCTTCATGTGAGTTTGAGGGTTGCTCTGTCCCCTTGTCTCAGGGCGACTCTCACTGTTTTTGCCTCCGTCACGCTTCCTGTTGGGTTGGTGACACTTTTGACCCGGAGTACTGCGAGTTCTGTTGCTTGCTTGTGACTCATTTTACCCAGTCTACTGATGATCTTTTACGGGTACAGGCAGCGCAGGTGTTGCATTTGCGGTTTAGGTTGTTGCAACGCGCTCGGTTGGTTGCTCACCCGGATGCCCCGAGGCTGCCCTGTTTTGCCTATAGGGGCCCGGACTTGGGGGGTGGGGGGTCGCTTCGACCCTGATTCAGTCTGCGCCCTCTTCCCCTTCTCCTTCGGTGGTTTGTACTGGTCCTCCCCCCCCCCCCCCCTCCTTTGCTTTCGGCTACGAAGCGTCTAAGAGTTTCAGAGTTGGGGCAGGGTTTAGATGGTCTTGAGTCTTGGGCGGTCTCAGGGGATGCCCCTTCCAGTGAGGCAACGGAGGCCTTCGAGTCCGATCTCTCTGCCGCAGCCTCCTGGTCTGACCAGTGGGCTCCCTTCCGTCTGGCTTACGGGGCTGCACCGGCTTTTACTTTTGAGGCCGGTGCATTGGGGGATGACTCGGCCCAGGGTCCTGTGGAGGAGGATCTTGGGGCTAGGGAGGGGCTGACTCGGGGGCCTTGGGCCCCACTGGACCCCGCCTGGGTTTTTCTGCCCTCTGAGCGGGGCTTATTGTTACAAGGAGTGGAGTCCCCTTTTTCCCCCTCTGAGTACGAGTAGAATTTTTGTCTGCCCCTCCCAGGGTTTGGTTCTGTGTCCCCCGGGTGCGTCGGTTCCGTCCTTCCGTAGGTTTTCGGCTTGCCGCATACTACCGTCTGCGGTGCGGGTGGCCCTTGGGGCTTACCTCCTGTGCGACCCGGATTATGCCTCGCTTAATTCAGTCTTCATTTTAATCCGTCTTCATTCAGGTTTGGGTTGTTGTTCCCTTTCTGGGTTCATTACAAGGTTCCGGAGTCGTCCTGACTGGCGGACTCTCCTGTGTTTGCTATGGAGGCATGGCATTCCTTCTGTCGTACCCGCTCACTTGAGTGGCGCGAGGCTTCGACAGTGGTTCAGGTTTCCCTGGGGGGCCATCTTGAGCACCTCAGTGAGTGTGTGTTTGCCCTGGCCCTTCCCCAGGATGTTGGCGTTCTGCAGCTCCATGTGCAGGTTCCGTCCCTTTCGGTGACGCAGGTTGCTGAGGACTTGCGCGCCTGTGGCCTTTTGGCTTCGACCTTGCGTTTCTTTTCTCTCCTGGAGCTGTCTTCGGACTGCCTTGCGGGAGATGTGGGAACGCTTGGGGCCGTTCCTGGGTCCGGTGCCTTGGGTTTGGCGGCTCGCTCGTCGGCTGCCTTGTTGAAGCTTTTTGCGGCGATCTTGTGGGAGGCGGTTTCCCTGTTTTATGCTTCCTGGCTCGTGTGTAGGTAGGCAGTGCTTGCCTCCTCTCTGGAATCTGCCTGGGCCCTGGCTCTTAGGATGTCTTCTCTTTTTTGTCCTCTGCTTTTTGAGGATTCGGCCGTGGCGCAATATATACAGGCTGCTTCGCCTACTTGTCGTCCTATGTCTGACTTGTTGGTTCTTCGGGTCACATCCTCCCACCTCTGGGAAAGCCCGGAGGGAAGCCCTTGCATGACCTCCCCCCAACCCCGGGATGGGGGGTCGTGCCAGGACTCGGGGTTCCGCTCGTCGTAGTAGGCCACGCCTTCATCTGGTTGCCGCGGTGTCCGCTCTGTGCAAGGTTCCGGGTCTCGTAAGGGGCGCCGGCCCTTTCATGGTTCGCCCCATTGACGGAGCGATGGGGGGAGGCTGGCGCTGTTCGCTCATGTCTGGTTCCACGATTTGTTGGCGTTTCGGGTCATTACCCTTTGGCCTGCGGTGGCATTGGGTGGCCCCCCCCCCCTCCTTCGGGGGGTTCAGGGCTGGCGGGGCAGGCCTCTACCCCTGCACTCTGCCAGGTCGTCTTAGAGTGGGTGTGCTTGGGTGTGGTCGAAATGACGACGTCCCTCAGATACGTTTCCCGTCTGTTCCCAGTACCGAAACGGGACTGTGCGGACCTGAGGTTCATTCTGGACTTGTCCCATCAGAACCCCTGGGTTCATTGCCCCTCCTTTCGAATGACTACGCTGTTCCAGGTTCGGCTCCTGTTGGCGCCAGGCTCTTGGATGGTGTCCCTGGACCTTCAGGATGCTTATTGGCACATATTGATTCACCCGGGGTTTAGGGACTGGCTCAATTTTGTTGTGGGGGCATCAGGGTTACTGCTTTCATTGTCTCATTTCATTGAACCTGACACCTCGCGTGTTCACGCGCCTTACCCAGGTCGTTGTGGCCCATCTGCATCTCTTAGGTGTTCAAGTGTTGGCCTACCTTGATGACTGGCTGGTTTGGGCTCCCAGCCGCTCCTCTTGTTTGCTAGCCAGGGATTTGGTTCTTTCCCAGCTCGCCGGGTTCGGGTTCTTGGTGAATTGGAGGAAGTCTCATTTGGTTCCCTCCCAGGTTTGAACCTGGCTGGGTCTTGTGTGGGACTCTCGGACCGCTTCCTTATCTCTTCCTCTGAAGTCTCTCCTGCGACTGCGGTCCTACATGCGCCTGTTTCTGGGGGGGCTCCCGGGTCACCCAGTGGTTGCTCGAGAGTCTGTGCGGGAGCCTGAACTTCGCGATGGTGGTCTACCCGCTGGGTCGGGTTTGGATCAGTCGGCTGTTCAGGTTCCTTCGAGGACGTCCCTTCCGCCTCTCTCGCGATCGCTGGGATCAGACCCTGGGGGGCCTTTCATCGACTGCTGCGTCGCCGGCTTCCTCTTTGGGCTTTTCGGGGTTCAGTGCCTTGGCGCCTGCCCGAGCCCACGCTCGATGTGTTCACTGACA